CGTGTGCTCTTCCGATCTCCCCAAAACCCCAAAACCCCATAAGTAAATGTTGAGTGATGTAATTTAGTTAATGATTTAAAAAAAGTGAGTCTGCTTTATTGCATAGATAGAAATAGTTAGAGATAGTAAGTTAAGAAAATATAATCTTGACTGCTTATTTAACCCACACCGTTTTTGTCCTCTTCAAATCTTTATTCCTTTTCTCCATATCGCCTGGTGTAATCCACTCACTAATTATTCTAAACACAATAGTAAAACTTACTCTTAGTCGGGTCTAATGGTCTGACTGCCTTTCCGAAGGTTTGATTGCCTCTCGAAAAACTCTTATTGGATAATTACTTAATATACTCATCCATATTTGCATAATGCAAAGGACTAGAGTCTTTATTTTTAGGCATCGATAAGTTTCTATCATTCTATTTAATTAAAATTAGATATTTAAATCTAAATTACCTTAGAGAATCTTCCCATTTTCATGTTTGTAATGTCAAAACCTCCATCATAAGTCTCAAACTTATAAATTTATGGGCCTGGTCCCTCAACATTCAAGAATTCTCTGGAGTATTCAGGGAAGTAAACTTTCTTGAGTTTACTTTTAGGTGCCTTGTACATTGTTCTGTTCATAGAGTTACTTGAAATCTTACTCTCATGTGGCTTGTAATACCTGAAGCTTAACTAATTGGTAACTGCATCTCTCTCATAAACTTACCCACCACCTTATTTAGTCACAGAGTCTATTGATTTAAATACCTATGTTTCGTACTCTCCTGGCCCAGGTGATTTTTCTCTTTCTTATTCGTTTCTTGTTCTCAAAAATCTATTTGCTTTTGGGAAGGATCCCATTCTATCAGCCATCAATTCATTAAGATTTCTTCTATAATTCAATGGAGCTGTGCCTCTATATTCATTGATCTTAGTATACTCACTGAAACGCTCAGCAGTTGGTATCTTCCAAGTTGGTGCTTTTTAGGCTGACATCCTCAAATAGACATTATCTGATACATACTGTCCCACACCTGGTGTCTCCTTACCTATCATGTCCTAAACATGCTCCTTCGATATAATTTGCTTGTAGGAAATGGTATTTGACTTTATGCTATAGCTAGGGAAGTTCTTATAGAACGAAATATTGGATTTTTTGTCGAAGCTCAAATTATTTGGTCTGTTTTATTCGTAATTATCTCTCGTCCTGGTCCTCATCAAAATAGGCTATGAGATATTGCTGGTTGATTTATCTTTAGAATCAGCCATTGTCTGAAAACTTGAGTAGTCGACACTTGTATTTCCAGTAGTCATAAATCCTCTGGCATTGTGTATTTTTAAAGTCAAATTTTTATAGTCTACCGTGTTTAGAGATTTTTTATTTCCTCTTTTGCCTCGATCGATTTTATTACTTTTTGAAAATTTATTGAGTTTCAAGTCATTAAGAGTTAATTTATCATCGGGCTGGAATTAAGTATCTCTTCTATTAAAAAAGTCTTAGTCTTGGATTGATTCGTTAGGTTAACTATCTGTTATTTTGATTAGCTACTAATCTTCCATTATAATGGTTATTTAGTTTTTTTAATGTTTTAATAAAGATTAGAGATATCATCGTTGTTAATTTAAGTCAGGAATTAAAATAAATCTGAGAAGTGCCCCCCAGTTTATAATTAATAATTTAAAAGTTATTAAATATGATCATATCACTAAACTGAGATTCCTCATAACTAAGTGGTAAGTTTCATATCTAATATGGAGAATAATGATGATCATTAACAATGGGTAATTTACGAATGATACTCAATGATTCAAATATAATTGATCCTTCTGACCAATTCTCAACCATATATTTTCCCAAAAAGCATTCAGATACTAATAATAAGTTATAGATATGTGTCATAAAAATTCATGAATTATCAGAAGTAAAGATGGCATTGCGTGTAGGATTTGAGCTTTTTGATAGCTTAAAGTTCCAAGGGAATGTGCCAAAGTGAAGAGTTTTTATCACTTCATGCCAACTTAATTCATTAAGGTAGCAGCAATGATAATCTCTCACACTCAACCACCTCCACATAAAAATGAAATGTTTGAATATTCACTTGATATAATATTTATACTAACCACTTAACTCTCTCATTATTTTTGCAGCAGGGGTTTTGGGGTTTTGGGGTTTTGGGG